GGTCTGGTGGCCGGACGAGACGACCGGCGCATGTGCAACATGTGCCCGATCGGACGGCAACCCCCGCTCTGACGACGTGTGGCCGGAGGCCAGACTGCGTTACGCCTATCGCAACGGCCAGCAGGTGTTGGTGCAACCGCAGACATCGCAGGAGCCGGTCAACCCTCAGCCTTGCTACCAACTCGGCGCTTTCGCAGACGCCGACAGTCCGTCCTGGCCGAGGCCGTCTCTGATGCCGCAACCTGGCGTCGGCGAGACGACGCTCCATGCGCCCAGCAACCACAGCATGGGTCTGGTCGTCGCCCAATCACAAATGACCGGCTCGGCCTCTTCGCACCCAGCCTCTGCGGCTGCTATGCTCATTCAGACGTCGAGGCAGATGGAGACGGAGTTGCAGACAATCCGAGGAGTGCTTCGCAGCATCGTCGACAGGCTCGCCGACAAAGACATCGTCAACAAACGAGCTCGCGAATGGAGGATGCTGGCTCTGGTCTTGGACAGAATCTTCTTCTGGCTCTATCTGACCATTCACATCTGCGCTGCCCTCGGCCTACTGGTTCCCGGCAGTTGGCATCCCACCCCAGACGAGGGTGTGGCTCGTTACGGTCGCCAGGCCTACGGTCAGGCATCGACGACTGGCCTTGGTGGCAACGAGTTGAATCGCAGCCTCCTCGAAGTCGGAATGTCCGGGGCAAATGCCAGTCTTCTGCTCACCGGCCGCCTCGACCACATACCAGCCGAGCCGGACACGGCAGATGAGCCGGTGGACGTAGAACTGCCTGGTACCAATCCTCCAAGCGCCTCCACTCTGACTGGCGTATTGCCCTCACCCTCTTCTTCCTCCTCCTCCCTTTCCTCTTCTTTCTCCTCTTCGCAAGTTCGGGTGGCAGATGAGACTATTCGATCTGGTCGAACGGGTCCGCAGTCGCCGGAGGCCGGCGGGCAAATGGGCCAACTTAGAGCCGAGGTCTACCTCGACAGCGGAGGTCAAGACGGATTGCCCAGTTGGAGGAAGGCCTATCCCGAAGAGATAACGGCCAGATCGAGGGGCGGTTTTGACAATATCTTTCCCAACGACAATCGAAATAGACGAATTCGGGCGCCCAGTCTGCCGCCCCTTGACGACTAAATGAGCTTAGATTACATTTGCCTAGACGACTGATACAGTGAGTTTGGCCAAATACAACTCATACCCCAACCACTCTACCAGTCCGCCCTACCGAATTCATCCCATGCCCACTTTTGCTAACAAGGTTGTGACGCCATGCTAAAGATGGCACAATTGATCGAAAGGTTGTGCCCATTCTACTGCCAAGTTTACGAACTTTAACCTTTTACACATTTTATTTATAATCACTTTATCTTCTGCTAGACCCATATTGACAAGCTTATTGATATTGCTTGCTATTTACGCTCTTTGCCATAGAAACATTTTTAACCATGTTAACATCATTTTTTATTGAGTATATACTCAAACAGGCAAAATTGCCTAAAAGTAGTGTATCTTTACTGTTCTTCCGTACATGTGACCAAAATATCCATCCTCCTCATCTTATTTTGTCTCATTCTTAACATTTACATTTTCCTCTCCTACATCTTCTTAATGCTTCGACTTTCCCTCTTCTG